CGCACTGCCTGGGGAGTGCAGGGAGCAGACGAACCTCTACCTGCCCGAGGTGGAACAGGCACCCTTCCCCTGGCTCTGCCTGCTGGAGCTGCAGCAGCCATGAAGAGGCACCTCTCACCTGACCCCAAGCTGCTGCCGCGGTGACAGAGGGCTGGGGTAGTTCCCTCCCCCTGGGGCAGCCTGCACACTGAGCCCCCAGCCCCAGAGCAATGATGCAAATGAAGCACGTACAGCTGCATTTTGTTTTGCCAGAAACCAACATTAATTGAGCTAAGGGCCGGAGCTATGCCGGGTACTTCTAATGAGCGATAAAAGGGAATTCCACCGACCCCTGGGCCCCTAGAATGAAGGGTCGGCTTAGTGCCCAGGACTCCTGGGTTCTCTCCTGGTCACTGCCGAGGTCAAGTTGCTTCCCACAGCACCATCAGCGCAAGCCGGTGAACCGCCCCCAGTACAATGTGCCGGGTGGGCTGGGAACTTAGGTGGCAGAGTGTTACTTTCCCACCACCACTAGGGGTCGCTCCGGTGCACTGCCCAGCAGCCCAGGAGCACAAAAAGGCCAAGTTAAAGGGCAAGCAAGCGCCCAATCCCCTAACTCCGTCTCCCCTCCCCCACTCAGGCTATTCGAGACCCACCCCGAGTGCAAAGATGCTTTCTTCCTCTTCCGGGACATTGAGGACCTGCAGCAGCTCAAGATGAGCAAGGAGCTGCAAGCCCACGGCCTCAGGTGGGTCCCCGCACCGTGCGATGGATCTCACCTCTGTGCCCGGCCTCCTGGGTCAAGAGGCCAAAGGCTGAGCCACGCAGGAGCCGCATGCACGCCTGGATCTCAGGAGGGGGGGAGTGGGGTCTAGTGGGGAGAGCAGGGAGAGGCTAGGAACCAGAACTCCTGGGTTCCATTCTTGGATCTGGCTGGGGAGCGACATTTCCCCTCACTGTGCCGGCTCAAGTGGGATATGAAGCTGCTCCCTAAAGGGAGGAGGGGCTCTCCCGCCAGCCCCGGCTTTGGAATAGAGAGTAATTGAACCACATCAACGGGAGTGATCCGAGATGGGAAGACTGCGTTTCGGGAGGCTCGGGGCTGGATTCAGGCCCACCCTTGGGATGGGATAGGATAGGGAGCATGATGGGAAGAAAGCTAGAAGGGGTTGGAGAGGAGACGGGGGCTAGGAACTGGGGGAGGGGGGACTTGGAGGCGATCGGAGGGGGATCTAGTCAGTTGGCTAGATCAATATTAGTATTATCCAAAGAATAAGGTCCTGATGTCTACAGCCCAGTCCTACTTATCCTGGGGACTCCCTGCCAAAGATGGTTATTGAGCTGGGGCAATTCTGGGAAGCTGGACCGGTGCCAGGGGTTCACTTTCCTGAGGTGCTGAATACTCACAACTCACTGTGGAAGCTTCCAGGACTCCAGGCTCTGCATCTTCATGCATCAGGGCACTGGCAGTGAGCAGGTCAGGAAGGTGTTTCTCCCAGTGCGAGGTGGGCCAGTCTGGCAGGCTCGAGGGTGGGATGTTGGCAGGGAACAGCCCCAGCGCAGGGCAATCCAGCGATGTCCCAGTCGGTTCTGCCCCATCCCAGGGTGATGTCCTTCATCGAGAAAAGCGTGGCCCGGCTGGACCAAGAGGACAAGCTGGAACACCTGGCCTTCGAGCTCGGCAGGAATCACTACAGATACAGTGCCCCTCCCAAGTACTATGAGGTGAGCGCTCCAGGGCCTGGGCTGCAGGGCGAGGGGGGACGGACCTTGCCATCCTCTGGGGGCTGGCTCCTGGGTTGCACAGACAGGAGCCGCTTACCCTCCTGCACAGAGGCAAGCCACAGTGCATTGCACCACAGGGCGCAGGCCAGGACACCCAGAATCCTCTGCACTCTGGTCCAGTGATGGTGGGAGGATGGGAGTGATTTCCCCAGCCTGGTCCAGTGCAAAGCCATTTCCCCAGCATGCCTGGGAACAAACGCCTTGTTTTTCTCCACTAGTACAAATGGCTTTTTCCCCAGCTCACGCTGGTGCAAATGATTTTCTCCAGCATGCTGTGGCCTGGCACACATGGCTTTTTCCCAGCATGCACTACCACAAACATTTTTTCCCCAGCATGCACTAGTAGAATGTTTTTCTCCCCAGCATGTTTCCCCAGCGTGCACTCCTGCAGACTGTGGTTCCCCTCCACCATGCTCCAGTACAAAGGGTGGTTCCCGCTGTTCACTCAGACCAACCAATTTTCCCAGCACGCCCCAGTACGAAACCCTTTCCCCACAGTTCACCAGTCCGGGCGCTTCCCCAGCCTGCATGGCTACAGGCCCAGCGGAGGTCCCAGGGAGAGACCCGTGCAGAGGGCAGCACCCAGCCATGCCTGGCCTGGTCTGTGTTTGCCACAGATCGGTCTGTCGTTTGGGCCGAGAAGGGCTGGGGCTGGCGTCTCCCTCTGACCCCACCTCTGCTCTGTTTCCAGTACGTTGGCGTCCAGTTCATCAGCGCGGTGCAGCCCATCCTCAAGGAGCGGTGGACACCGGAGCTGCAGGAGGCATGGCAGGTAGGCAGCGGCTCCGCGGAGACTTCACCCTCTCCTGGACCCCTCTGGTTCTTCATCCGGCCCTGAGCCCTTTGTGTGGGGCTCTCACAATCAGTGGCAGCCAGGGGAGCTGGACAAATCTTCCAGGGGTTTGGCTTCCTGCTTGCCCTAGGAGTGGGTATGGAGCACAGTGCGCTGTGGCTGTTCTCTGCTCCCCAGTGCCCATAGGGGGCGGATCGGGGGTGTGGCCGCAGCACACTGTGCTGTAGCTGTTCTCTGCCCCCCCAGAGCCCATAAGGGGTGGATGGGGTGGGGCCAGGGTGCCCTGTGCTGTGGCTGTTCTCTGCCCCCCAGGGCCCATAGGGGGTGGATGGGGTGGGGCCAGGGTGCCCTGTGCTGTGGCTGTTCTCTGCCCCCCAGGGCCCATAGGGGGCAGATTTGGGGTGTGGCCGGAGCACAACACTGTGCTGTAGCTGTTCTCTGCCCCCCCAGAGCCCATAAGGGGTGGATGGGGTGGGGCCAGGGTGCCCTGTGCTGTGGCTGTTCTCTGCCCCCCAGAGCCCATAGGGGGTGGATGGGGTGGGGCCAGGGTGCCCTGTGCTGTGGCTGTTCACTGCCCCCCAGGGCCTATAGGGGGCAGATTTGGGGTGTGGCCGGAGCACACTATGCTGTGGCTGTTCACTGCCCCCCAGAGCGCATAGGGGGTGGATGGGGTGGGGCCAGAGCGCCCGGCGCTGTGGCTGTTCTCTGCCCCCCAGGGTCCATAGGGGGCAGACGGGGTGTGGCCAGAGCGCGCGGCGCTGTGGCTGTTCTCTGCCCCCCAGGGTCCATAGGGGGCAGACGGGGTGTGGCCAGAGCGCCCGGCGCTGTGGCTGTTCTCTGCCCCCCAGGGCCCATAGGGGGCAGATTTGGGGTGTGGCCGGAGCACACTGTGCTGTGGCTGTTCACTGCCCCCCAGAGCCCATAGGGGGTGGATGGGGTGGGGCCAGAGCGCCCGGCGCTGTGGCTGTTCTCTGCCCCCCAGGGTCCATAGGGGGCAGACGGGGTGTGGCCAGAGCGCCCGGCGCTGTGGCTGTTCTCTGCCCCCCAGGGTCCATAGGGGGCAGACGGGGAGCGCCTGGGCTAGACCCTGCATGGTGCACTCAGGGCGTGCATGGGGCTCAGTCCCTCCCCCCGGCCTGTATGTATCATGATAAGATCCTGCAAAGGGAAAGTCCCTCTCAGCCCCTGCGAGCTTAGCCTGGAGCAGGCTCAGTTCCGCGTGGGGGTCTGGAGCATGCTCAGTGCAGATGGAATCTTTGGAGAATTTAGTTGCCAAACGCTCACCTGTCTTTTCTGAGCATGTGCAAACTGATTCCCCTCCCCAGAGGCTTCTGACTCAGCCAGATTTGAGTGGATTGTGAGGGAGGGTGTGATGGGGCGTCTGCCCCACACTGGGGCAGGGCAGCCGGGGAGAGGGCAGGAGGTGGAGCTGTGGAACCAGCAGCTGTGGCTGGGATGAGCCAATTAGGGCCCAGCTGGAGCTGTGTAAATAGAGGGTCCTGGGAGGGGGCAGATACAGACTCACTCTTGCTCTAGCTGGAGGTTCCTGACTTAGAGCAGAGCTGGAGCAAGGCCTGAGGGTACTAAGGGACACAGCCAGGATAGGCAAAGGCAGCAGGTCCACACCCCTGGCCACTGATGAGTGGCCATTCCAGATTGCAGTGTGTCCCCCGTGGCAGGGGCTGGATGAAGACTGGCAGTGGGTCACTGAGGCAAGAGGGCTCTAGGGGAATTGTGCGTTCCCTGGAAAGGGAGGACCCCAAAGTGTGGGGGTGCTGCAGCCGGGCAGTACCAAGAAGGAAGGGCACTGTAATCTGGGAGGGACGTGGGCCCTTATGCAAGGTGGGGGAGCTAGGAAAAGGTACCAGCAGGAGAGACCCTGAAGAGCTAATTCCCAAGTGACCAGCAGGAGGCGCCGTGCTAGCAAGTCATGCTGTGTGACAGAGGGCAAAAGATACCTTCCCTGCGCCCAGGGCGACCGGGCACAGGCCTCCCGCTGTGCGCAATCTCGCTCCTCTCCCCTTGCAGAGTCTGTTCAAGTACCTGACGGCCACGATGGAGCAGGGGTACTACGCGGAAGAGGAGAAATCGGGCAGCAGGAAATCCCTTGCCTTGCGGAAGCCTGGGACTGGATCCTTCCTGAACAGCATCTAGGCTGGAGAGCAGACAGGGTAGCTGAGCAGAGCAGGCTTGCTGTGGTAGTCCCATAGGACCTCTCCCTCCGCCTCCCCCTGTGAACAAGGAACTGCCCTCACCTATTTCTTTCACGGGCTGTCAGGCCAGCTGATCCATGCACAGAGCCTGGATTTTTACTGTCCCACTGGCTGGAGGCCCCATAGCTGGAGGCCTCCTCAGGTCTCCGCAGCAGGTAGCGGCAGTAAACAGTCCTTGAACCCCTTCCACTTTGGGCATAGGCAGTGCAGGGTCAGCCTCCTGGAAGGCAAAAAGCTTCCTGGGGCTGAGAACCAGGCTCGGCTTTAGAGACCAGCAGGAGGGCCTTGATTGAAAGGTATGGACTGCTATCTGCCGGGCCCACCTAGAGCAGCAGGGGAGAAGAGTTTGCAGGGTGGCAAAGTTAAAGGTCACCCCCAAAGGGCAATGAAATTGAGATGGGGAGGCAGCCGCCTCCTGTTTTGCTTCTTTACCATGGATCAGGACACCCTGAGAAACCGAACTCATGGGCAGACCAATGCTTTCTCGCAAGCTGGTTAATGGTCTGCTACTGCTGCCGGTGGAGGGAGTGACTCTGTTACCTTGAGTGGCAGAGGCCTGTGCGAGGCATAAGGCTCAAGAGACAGAGGGAGGGAGCACAAGGAAGCAGGGAGGCGATGGGAGCTGGCCTTGCGCAGGTCTAAAGTGGGAACCGGGGGAGGCCGTGGCAGTCTGTGAATATTGGGGGAGGGGTACGAGAACAGAAGTAGCCCCGCCCTGCGATTAAAGCGCTCGCAGGGGTTCACTCCCCACCTCTGCTGCGATCCTGGGCAAGTTCCTCCATCTTTCTAGGCCTGGGTCCTTCCCAATCTGTACAGTAAGGGCGGCTTTGTCCTGTCAGACTGCAGGGGCAGGGCCGGGCCCTGAGCTCAGTCTGTGGTGCCTGTACAGCTCGCTTTACAGTAGAGACCCTGACCTTGCAGCCTGCCCTGCAGGACTCTGCGGAGAACTAGCCCTGGTGCTAGTCTAGGGACAAAAACTGCAACAATTTGAACCCCCCCTCCAATTCGGAGGCAGCAAAGTACAGAGGAGGGGCTGTTGGGAATCAGAGACTCACAGAACACGACAACTGGAAGGGACCTCGCAAGCTCATCAAGTCCAGTCCCCTGCCCCCGTGGCAGGACCAAGCACCATCTAGACCCTCCTGATAGATGTCTGTGTGACCTGCTCTTAAATCTCTCCAGTGATGGAGATTCCACAGCCTCCCTAGGTAATTTATTTCGGTGCTTAACCACCCTGACAGCTGGGAAGTTTTTCCTAATGTCCAACCTAACCCCCCGGCTGCAGTTTAAGCCCCTGGCTTCTTGTCCTAAAAGCCAGAAAGCCCAGGCCTGGTCTATGCAGACGTTTTGTGCCGGGGTAACTGCATGGGCAGGAGGGTGCTTTCCTGGAACCCATAGGCTCCTAGGACTATGTCTACACTGGAGGCTTCTTGCGCAAGTACAGCCGTTCTTGCGCAAGAATCTGCAGAGCGTCCACACTTCCCGCCCGCTCTTGCGCAAGTAAATTTACAGTACGGTGTGGTAAGAGGGGGCTACTTGCGCAAGAGCTACGCTCTTTTTTAACAGGTGTAAGCCCTCTTGCACAGGGGCTCTTGCACAAGAGGGCAGTGTGGACGCTCAGCAGGGGTTTCTTGTGTAAGAAAGCCCTATGGCTAAAACGGGCATCAGAGCTTTCTTGTGCAAGAGAGCGTCCACACGGCCATGGATGCTCTTGTGCAAAAGCACAGCTCGCACATGGCAGTGTGGACGTTTTCTTGCACAAGAACTCTTGCGCAAGATGTTCTTGCACAAGAAGCCGCGAGTGTAGACCTAGCCATACAGTTCTCCTCCTGCAACCCCAAGTGTGGCTGCAGTTCTGCCAGTATAAAGGCCTTAAGCTGGTATCACGCCCCTTTGTGGGACCAGGGCAGTAGCACAGTGGCCACAGCAGTGTTCATTCGGTCCCCCGGGACACTATGGGTGCCCCCCTGGTTTTCACCACTGCCCCTCCAACTCTGGGGCCATGCAGTTCCATTGTGCGTGTGCGGGCAGGTGCTTGAGTTGTGCCTGCCGGCCTGCGAGCAGCTTGGATTGGTTTGCCCCAGCTGGTGCTAGTTCTCCTGCTTCAGGCCAGGCTCTTCCCTTCCACCTGTAACCACCCTGGCTTGCCACCACGCCCGGATCTGCCCTGGCCTCTTGGCCACTGCCAGGGCGCCACGCAGCTGCCAGAGACGTGGCCGTGGTCTGACGGCGCCTCTCGTCCTGCAGCACGGCGCCTCGTGCACCCGCCATCCCTGAGCTTGGCCTAAGGGCCGGGAGAGGGGAGGTCTGATTGCCCCACAAGACACAAAGGGAAAGTTGCTTCTGTTTGTCCTGTTCTAGGCCAGCAGCTTTGCAAGGCATTGCTGCTAGTCCTCTGCTGCTGAAAGTGCCGGGGTTGCCTCGTGTTTTCCCTCATCCCTGGCTTGGCAAGCTGGGACGGAAAATACGTCCACTCAGGGGCCCGTGGGATAGGAGCGGGCTGCTTGACTTCCCTGCATTCCCACGGAGTGTGCAGTGGCATAGGCAGGGTGCCCTGGAAGCTGGACACGTGTGCACCGCCTCAGGAGAAATTATTCCAATGCTGCCCCGCTGAATAGCAGAGCACCCACGGCTAGGTTTGTTTCTATTCGCACACGGCCCGGTGCACATAAAATGTATGCCACACAGCTATGGAAAACCTCTGCACATGGATGGAAAAGATTAGAGGAACACTGGGAGTAGGGTGGCCGGGTGGCCAGTTTTCAACCAGACAGTCCGGATCAAAAAGGGGATCCGACAATGTCTGGTCAGATCTATCGACTGGACACCCAAAGTCCAGTCACTGCAGACTGGAGAGGGGCCGAGTCATCACCTGCGCCAGCCCCACACAGCCGGGGCCACCTCCTTCCTGCCATGGGAGGCTGCAGCTTAAGGATGTTACATCTCGATGAACTTCCATGAATCTCGATGGAATTTCCATCAACTACTCGATTAGTCGATAAGGGGAGCACTTGCGATCCTGCTGCGCCTCTGCCTTTGAAATGTACAAGAGCCGCAGGCTGCTCTTGTACATTTCAAAGGGAGAAGCGCAGCACTAGAGACGCCACTCTGCCATGGGAGGCTGCAGCTTAAGGATGTTACATCTCGATGAACTTCCATGAATCTCGATGGAATTTCCATCAACTACTCGATTAGTCGATAAGGGGAGCACTTGCGATCCTGCTGCGCCTCTGCCTTTGAAATGTACAAGAGCCGCAGGCTGCTCTTGTACATTTCAAAGGGAGAAGCGCAGCACTAGAGACGCCACTGCCTCCCCCGCCCCCCAGCACCGGCTCCCCCTCTCCCGCTGCCACTTTGAAGTATCCCCTCTCCCACTCTCTTTGTTGCCACTATCTGATAGCATTTGCTTATCGGGTAGTCGACTAGTCGCTTGCATCCCTGCTGCAGCTCCCTGCCCTGGCTCTGCAGATGTGTCCCTCTGACTGCAGTGGGGGGAGGGGAGCGGGGAAAAGCAGTGAGCGGCAAAGGGAGGGGAAAGAGGAGTAAATGGGGGACAGGGCCCCAAGGGGAGGGGCAGGAGCGGGTCCGTGGCAGAAAAGACATGTGGGTCAGGCTGCTCTGTGCTCAGCTCCCAGGTTCTCACACGGCCACTGATTTTGAGTGACTGAGGGTGGGGCCCAGGACTCCACGAGGGAGTGTGGAGTAGTGGTTACAGCAGGGGATGGTGTTACACTCCCACCTCTGGGAGGGATGGAGGGTCTAGTAGCTAGACAGGGGAGTTGGGGCTCCTGGTTGCTATTTGTGGCTCTGGGAGGGGAGTGCTGTCTAGTGGTTAGAGGTGCAGCTGGGGTCAGGACGCCCGGGGTCCGTCAGGCTCTGGGATGGGGTGGGGCTGTCTAATGGCTAAAGCGGGGGTGTGGGGGGGGTTAGATTCCAAGGCCAGAAGAGCCCACTGTGATCGTCTATTATACACGCCCCCGCAACTGCCCCAAAACACTTGCCAATGCCGATCTTCTAGCTGGATTGTAAACGTGCCGGTGGCGGGGAATTCACCGGGCCCCTCAGTACATGGCTCTGGTGGGGAATGACTCACCGCTCACACTGGGCAGCCGGGGCCCCGCTGGGTGGGTCACAGCGAGCCGGGAGCTGAATCTGCCCCCAGCCCCTGTGACTGGGCTGACCGGCGTTCAGTGGCTGCTGGGTGCCTAGTTCCCTGCGTTCGTGCCGGGGCTTGTCCCGGGGCCTGGCGCCTCGCAGGGCGTGCCCCTTGGCTGCGCCGCGTGAGCCATAGCGCCACGACACGGTTCAATAAACCCACCGCACGGCGCGCCGGGCCCAGGGAATTCTTGCCTTCGAAACAGGAGCATGTAGCTCCCGCCACTGCCCTCCTCGAGGCAGGCTGGGAGCAGGGCCCCGGGGCCCCACCCTGCCGGGGAGCACGGCCTGCAGCCTGGCCGCTGGCATCGGGGCGGGGAGCGTTGGGAATGGGGCTGGCCCCATGGCAGTGGAGAGGGGACGGGCTGGCTCGGGGGTTGGGGGCTGTCCTGACGCGTGTCCGCAAACTGCCACTGTCCTGGGGCCAGGTGGCCCTTGGCCATGAAAGCTGCATCCGCCCCCCAGGATGGAGCGAGAGGGGGTCAGGAAAGGGGGGGGTTGTATTGCTGCTGTCCCAGTGCAGCCCCCAGGCTCCCTGCCCCCAGTGCCCAGGCTCTGCCCTTGCCCTGCCCTTTGGCTGCTGGAGGTGCCGCTGGCTGTACTTGTCTGGAGGTTACAGGTTCAAGCCCCCGTTCACAGCCATGAAAGCTGCATCCGCCCCCCAGGATGGAGCGAGAGGGGGTCAGGAAAGGGGGGGGTTGTATTGCTGCTGTCCCAGTGCAGCCCCCAGGCTCCCTGCCCCCAGTGCCCAGGCTCTGCCCTTGCCCTGCCCTTTGGCTGCTGGAGGTGCCGCTGGCTGTACTTGTCTGGAGGTTACAGGTTCAAGCCCCCGTTCACAGCTCGGTCCCCCTCCCCCCGGTGTTGCATGGGGATAAGCAGGCATCTAACTACCCCCCTCGGTGACCTTTGCCCGCA